TTTAATTTGATGAGGATTCTAGTTATGGATAGAAAACACCCATCATGTAAGAATTCTGATTTAACATTAAAATAATATATGACATATGATATTGTCTTATGCACACTTAGGCGGCGTTGTTTGGTACCTTTAAGAGCATCGCCAATATCTCATTATATATAACAGAGGGATAAAAACAAATATTTAAATGTTATTTACATATTAGTCCCTTGATTTTAAATCTTTAATAATTTTATATTAATCACTGAAAATTTTAAAATTGCTCATAATTTTAAAGACTAATATTGAATTATTAAAGATTTGGGAGATAAATATGTAAGCAAATCATATTTAAAAGAAGAGTTGATTTTTGAAAACCCATCAAGTATGGTGGTTGTCTCAGAATACATACTCAACTTATTTAATTTGAAAAAAATCCCCTAACTATGGAGGTGTTGTATATAATACCTCTCAACTTTGGTATAACAACGATTTTAGAAAACCCCTCAACTTTTGATGTGTTCCATAAAAACTTCTCAGACACTTTACACTTCTCTCAGCAAACTTCATTAATGTCGTTGCTTCAATTAGTGATTTGGATGAAATACCCTCCTTTAAAAAAAACTTATTTTAGTTACAAAGAAAACCTCAACGGATAATGAAAGGACCTCTAACCAATTTATGTAACTTTCTCCCTCTATATGTCTTCTTTTTCTTTCATTTAAAAGAAACCAAGATAATTATTTTATGGTTGAGGTATACTTGCCACATAATAGGTTAGTGTTATTTTTGTCGGGTTAAGTGAAAATGGCTGTTAGAACCCCCTCCGGCCCCCGCGCGCCAACCAACAAACTCCCCTAACCTTTTACACTTCTCTAAGCGAACTCATTAACATCATTACTTCAATATGTGATTTGGATGAAATATCCTCTTGAAAAAAAACTCATTTTAGTTAAAAGAAAAAAAAACAACCAACCGATAATAAAAGGACCCGACCAATTTACTCTCTCTCTATATATAACTCTTCTTTTTCTTTTACCTAGAAAAAACCAAGATAATTGTTTTATAGTTGAGGGATATTTGCCACATAATAGATCAGATTCAATGGTGTTAGTTTTAAGGGGTTAAATGAGAAATGCATGATTGAGGTCATGGGTAACGGGGTTCCATCGGCCATGCGGACCATGGTGGTAGTGTCACGCCCCGGGCCCACAGGCCTGTTGGTGTGTGCAAGCCGTGAGACCTACCGAGTGTAACACGTTGTTTGGCTCAAACCATTGCCAAAATCGACTTGTCGATGTTACACATGAGTCTTTAGCTTCACTATATAAAGCCTTTAATTCCTTATTTTCCCACCGACGTGGGACTAAACTTGTGGGATGTCATATTCACCCCCACCTTACAAAGACAACGTCCTCGTTGCGGTATGATAATTATCACATCCTAGTATCGTTGCCAAGCGATGTGGACTCTAGAGGTGGCTCCTACGCGCTCTAGAGGTGGCTCTCACCACATCCACACAGTGTAGCACTTAGCCTCGCATAGCACTTAGCTCTACACTTTCGGCTGACAACTGCTCTGATACCATTTGTCATACCCCGGGCCTGTAGGCCCGTTGGCGTGTATAAGCCATGAGACCCACCGAGTGTAACACGTTGTTTGGATCAAACCACTGCCAAAATTAACTAGCGATATTAAACATGAGTCTTTAGCTTCACTATATAAAGCCTTTAATTCCTTATTTTCCCACCGATGTGGGACTAAACTTGTGGGATGTCACAGGTGGGGGGAAGGGGTGTTTAGTTGTATAGGTGTGTTTGTGAAGACGTCAGATGATGTGTGGCACTCGAATCTAAAATTCATGATTTAGCTTTTATACCTGAATGGGTGGCGTATGAGGCAGTAGTCAAACCTATAATAGGTGATGTGGCTGATGGATGTAGTGCCTATAGTAGATCGGTGTAGGATAGTGTTGTGGATGTGGATAGGATCTCGGAAATGGCTACCTGGGGTGGAGTCATCAGAGGTGTGGTTAGGGATGCTATAGCTAGATGTGCATGACGCTTTCTCGTGGAGTATCCTCGGAGCTTGTGAAAGTTGCATCATGATCTGCTAGAGGTCTAAGGAACGGAGTGCTACAGTCTAGATGATGGGGGATGTGGACAATGAGGGGGACCACAGTGAGGTGGTCAAGAGGTGGTGTGTACGGAGCATGAATTGATGGGAAGAGTTGTTAACTGAAGACGCGTCTCTTTAGCTTATAGCTTTCTGACAGCTGTCTCTAAGGCGGGTCAGGGTGACCAGTGAATGAGTTAGTTGTAAACAAATTCGAACTCCTATTAGATTTTTATCAAAAATTGAGAGAGATGTTGTCGATCTCAACTGTTGACGTGATGGCCCTGGAAGCTAGGTCTGATAGGGTTATTTTGAGGGTCGCAAATTTGTTCCCATAGGTCGAAGATTATGTGTAGAATTGGCAAATTGACTCTTTTGGTATAGTTGGAACTCCCAAGCATCACCCGACTGGGTGTAGAACTGCTTAAGGTATTCCTAGAGAGATGTGGTAGAGTAGAACCATGTGAGTTGAAGTTGGACAGAGGGAGAGACAGATTGGACTAATGATGCAATGGCTCGATTTCAGCAAGGGTCCAAGTCGTTAGTGCAGACTCATATGACGATAGGGTAACGACGTCTTTGATAGGATCTCCAGTAGTGGGTGGTTGAATTGCGGATTTAGCAGTGTTGTCAATGTGACTCCAGATGCAACAGCTACGTAGGATGAAGCGTAGGGAGTAGGACCAGAGGTGGTAGTTGCCGCCATTAAGTATAACATCAATGAATTGTTGATGGAAGTGCATTTCCTACGTTTTCATGTTGGTGAAATAAGGTTTGATTGATCGAAGGAACTAGTGATATGTGAGTTTGGATAGAGTAGATGAGCCAAATTAGTTTTGAGATGATTTCCGATTCGGGATCTATGGCGCAGGATGAGTGGTGGTGCAAATATGGCTCAGGTGGTCAAGCGGCAGTGTAGTTTTGACTCAAGTGGTCGAGCATTGGTGTAGGATTGGCACATGTGGTCGAGTGGTGGTGTGATCATGGGCGAGGCTAGGTGCATTGTGGTCGAGCTAGTGCTATTCTGGCTCGAGTAGGGTCGAGCAACGATGCGGATCTGGCAGGCGTTGTCGAGCGATGTCGAGTGATGGGGTAGTTTTGAGTCGGGCAGTCGAGCAATGTTGACGTGGGCGAGAAAGATCTCGTTGTAGATGAGCAGTGGTGCAATTGAATGGGTGAATCATAGTTGTGGACAAGTAGGTGCAAATCTAGTTCGAGCGGGATTGAGAAATGGTGCATATTTGATGGGCATGGTCAAGCGATATTGAGCAGAGTCGGCTGAGAGCTCAAGGGTGGTGGTCAGTAGGCAGCGGCTTGGGTTTGTTGTGCTGAGGCATGGTGGTTGATAAATGATAATCTCCTGATCATAGAAATCTCATGATCGCGAGATTTCGCAATCACGAGAGGGAAGCATGATTTACATAAGAGCCATGTTAATTAGGTTTTTGGCATTGTGAGGCTGGGATTTTGAGGGGAAAGTTGATTGGGTGGCTCTAATACCATGTAAGAGCCAGAGCAATTGGAGAGAAAAAGATATCTTTCTTCATTGATATGGCAATTTATAGATACATTGTAAATAGAGTCTGTTGTACTATCCTACCCAATGTGAGACTAAACAAGTCTATGTATATACAATATTTAACAAGAAAAGGGTGTTAGAAAAATCCCCTCAGCTATTTTAATTGAGAAGTATCCTCCATGTTTAGGGTATAGATAATTCATCTCAACTTTAAAATTTTGATTTAACCCCAAAACACACTCACCCCCAACCCCCGACCTTGCCCCACATACACAATAGTTGAGGGGGAGTTTTATAAAATTACCCTTAAACTAAGCACAACTTAAGGCACATGTGACATCGATTTTATAAGACTATGTTTTATATTACGTAGCTTGCATATTGATACTGTTGTAGGTATTGGATTTTTCTAACTCTGTGGTGTTGTCTTTTTTCTCCTAAAAGTTTTGGATGTTGTTTAAAATTGGATATACCTAAACTTTTCTGTTAAAATACAATCCATCTGAGTGCATAATATGTATAAATCATTCTCGGAGTATATTTTATAATTTTCTGACACTAAAGAGCAATCATTTTGAAAATTTTAGATAAAGTGTAGTTGGGAAGATATGGAAGGATTAAAATATTAGATTTTAAGATTGATCACATAATGTGTGTTTTCTTTCATGAATTTGCACATTTTAACTCAGAGAATTCTAAAAAAAGCTTTTAATTACTATAATACTCTAAAAAAGCTTTTAATTACTATAATACTCGATCGTCGGCTATAAATGGCAGATGGAAGTAATTTTTTAAAACTAAATAAAATTCAAGCACTAGATAAAACCTTTTTTCCCTAATGAACTCAAGAATTTATTTTTTTCATTAATAGTAAGTGTCCTTTCAATATTTGTCTCTTACATCATTAATATTTTAAAATTAGTTATTCAAATTATTGAAATTGCTCTTAAATCATTAATATTTTAAGATTTTAAGCTTCACAATTCCTCTAGAAAGCAAAATGTTAAAACCAACAAGATTTTACGCATGGAATCTAAAGAATTTTAATATATTATGATAATTATAAACTTTTTCGCAACCATGTTATAGTAAATAAATAAACCTAAAATACATAATTAAGATATTTAACCACGTGCAATGCACATGCATACCACCTAACAGATAGCTAATATATACATTCTTGCATATAAGGGCGCGTTTGTTTCTCGGTTTTTAGGTGGGAAAGTGCCCGAAAGCTGCCACCCCAGTCCCATCCGTGGCACCTTTCGGGCAAAAACGCATCTAAAAGAGGCGTTTTTGCCCAAAAGCTGCCACGGATGGGACTGCCGTGGCAGCTTTCGAGCTCCCAGTCCCACAACCAAACGCGCCCTAACTCAGAACTGACACATTGAGCGTACTACCATTATTACATATACTCAGCTTCAAATTCAAAAACTAGGGCACATTCCCAATATATTACACATACTCGCATGTAACCCAAAACTTAAAAGATTGAGGATACCCCCAATTTATTACAGATACTTGCATTTACCTCAACTCAAACATTGAGCACAGTTCCAGTACAAAACTACAGACGGGACAACTTCAAACATCTCCAATGCACTTATACACTATAGCCACGGAATCACAGCGCTCAATACTTAGGCGCAGGCTTGCTCCTCTGAAATATGGCAAATACATCACTGTATATAGCCACCCCACTCGAAACAACGGCCAGGACGATCATGAAACTCGATAGGATCTTATCCCTGTTGCTCGCTATGGCATGAGCATCCCTGAAACAAGAAACCAAAATGATAATAATTAGGAAAATGACAACATAAAAATATCCCAAGAATCAATAAAAAATTATGGTTAATATCAGGGGGAGAAAACCCCTTAAGGAAATTATGCACATTATCCCGTTAACTATTTTAAATCCACAAAGTATTTCCAAACTTTATGGGGTTTTGCACATAATCCTTCTCAACCTATTTTATTCTACTGAACCTCCTGAAGAATTTTCACTTCAACCTCCAAGAAAATTATCATCAAGCGTAACATGTCTCGCATCTTGGTGTGACCAAAAAAGTCACCCTCGGTTCACAATAAATCACCCTTTCATCCTTTTTCTTATTTCCATTACGTCTTTGACAACTGAGGGGAGTTTTCATCTTTTTTGATTATGTGCGTCGCAAATGACAAGTTAGAGTTGACAGTAGACTATGTTTGTTGTTGTTTTTTTGGTTTTTTTTGGGGGGTGGGGGTTTAAAGTGAACAATCATCAAGAAGTTTAGTAGAATAAATAAATTCAGGGGGGTTTATATGCAAAACCTCTTGAGTTCAGGGGGTATTTGTGGAATTATAATAGTTAAGGGGATTTATCAGCAAAACCCCCAAAGTAAGGGGTTGTCTGAAATTAACCCAAACTATTACAAGAGAACTCACCTTAGGGTGATGGCAGCAGGGAAGATGAAACCGATACAGACTGTTGCAGTCGAACCCGTAAACTGAAAAGCGTCCCAAATGCTCGGGATAAAATTCGCAGCCAAGAAAACGAACGATAGGAGAAGCAAAGTAACAAATGCAAATCTCCGATTATCAGAAGATATGGGCCTGGCTGAAGGAAAGAGGAGACCATCAAAGTTGAGGCGGAGGGCGAAAAAGATGATGGGGAACACAAGCATGAGGTGAAGAACATAGCTAACTCGAACAATGTCATTGAGAAGAGAGCTGTAAGGGATGCCGAGATCAGAATCAAAGTTGGTAAGGACATCATCGAGGGTTGAATCGCCGAAAAGGAGGTAGGAGAAGAAGCTTGTGGCTATGTAGACAGTAGAGCAGAGGGCGAGTGATGTCCGCACTATCGGCTGAATTAGGGAAGAGTCATCGAGCTCGTTGTCTACGCTGTGAACTGCAAATCTCATAAATGAAACTGGTCAAAGGAATTTCCAATCACAGACTCCAGTAACAAAGAACAATGTGTACTAGAGACGAAGAAAACAAGAGCTAGACTAGAGGCCCTTGATCCTCTGTCTCCTATTTATTTGTCCAAGGTTTTCAACATTCATGTAAAACTATTAGAGACAAGTTTATTTAGTTCCATATTGAAAGCTTATGTAATAGTATTGTATTTGTTTTACTATAAATAAAACTTAACTCTCCGCCCGAGAGGTCAAGCCATTTTCCCACTACAACCGTAACAAATGCATTTGTATACCGAGAAACAAGCTTGTTGACCAGTTTCTCTACCCACACGCACATAAGAGGTTTACATTTGTAATAACCCCTGAAAAGCTCGGAAATTTCACTTCATCCCCAAGTACTTTTCAGATAACCACCAAATTTAAAGAGTAGTCCAAAATAGAAAACGAAAAAGTTTTCAGAGTTTAATGATGTTCTTACACTTTATGCGGTTTATCACTAAATGGGCTAACCTTATTGACGGTGTTGTGAAATTTACCCTTAAAAAAATTAGTTGGAGAGTTGCTTGCTTAATGATGGTAATCAAGTTTCTATTACGCTCTAAAAAGAAGGTTGCCATTGTCTCTCACAAAGAGGTATAAGTTCGTCAAGTTCTTGAACAATCTAAACATCATAAGAATGCCACTAATGCTGTTTATTTGACAAAGAATGGCACTAATGTTGTTCATTGGACCAGAAATTTAAGTAATAACCACTAACCAGTAAACCACCAACATGATCACGTCTACTACGGGAAGTGCATACCGTTGTAATGGCAGATAAATGCAGTGACGAGAACTGGAACTGCTGTGAAAAGATTCCAAACAGATGACAAATCAGTGATCTCTGGAAACAATCTTGGCATCTGCACACTTCCACTCACTAATTTGACAATCGCAATTGCAGCAGTGACAACAACGAACACCGCCGCCAGCGCAACCGATAAGGCAGATGTATATCGCAGAGAATCTGCAGGCAGAGTTAGAGTGTCTTGGGTTGTGGAAAAGAGCTCTATCGGTTGCAAATACCCCCTGAACTTTTTTTATTCCACTTAACCCCCTTGGACTTTAGGTGTCACTTAAACCCCTTGACCTTTGAAGTGTTTCCAACACACTCCCCGACATTGTTACCCATTAATGGTGAAATGACCAAAATTCCCTTTCTGAAATATAATCCTCAAAAATGAAATCAGCATAAAGGGGTAATTTTTAATAGACAGAGGGGTATTTCATCCTTTTGCTGTCAGGTGCTTGGCATGTGACCCTTTGAAGCTCAAGATGTGACTTTGGGGTTAAGTGAGACAAATTCAAGGGCGTTAGGTGGAATAAACAAAGTTCAGGGTGGCATGTGCGAAAAAACCCAAAGTATGGGAGGCATTGAGTGAAATTTACACTAAACAAAATTCTAGAATCTTAACAGGGAAAATAATTGGTTCAACTTGCCAATGCGCTTGAAGCTTGCCAATGGAACAAATACAAGAAGGGTTGTAATGGTAAGAACAAGGAATCGGCCATTCCACAAGTGACGCCCAAACCATTCTTCTAATAGACCAGAATGAGGAATACTAGTGGAGGATGTTCCAGAAAGCACGTCGCCTGGTCACAAAGTTAAATGTTATAAAATAGAAATTCTTTAAGGGCTACCTTGCAACAGCATGGATCTAATAAGTAATAAAGGTAAAAAAAAAAAATCATTAAATGAGCTTCACTTTTATCTGCTGATTTCTAAAGGACAATATATACTTGGAAAGGATGTGAGTTGCTTCAGATATTTGATCATTAGTAGACTAATCAAACAATGTTTCTTATGGTATACTGTATTCTAGGTAGCACGGACACGGGTGCGGACGTGGACACTGGACACAGACACGGGACACGGAAAATTCGTAAAATGTAGGATATTGGGTTAAGGCTACATATGTGTATGTGTATAAAACTTACATTAGATCAAATACTGAATTGAAATATGTATAACATTTGTATGTTTCTTTCTATTATCTATAACAATTAAGAATTAAGTTAAATAAAACTAAGAATAAGATTTAACAACAAATGTTTAGTTTTGATCGCATGGGATAATATAATGGGTATTTGTCAAATATTTAAGTAATGAGTGTCAGTTTTCATGTTTAAAAAACCGATTGGGTTTGAGCCCGATATTATCAAAGAAAATTGGGTATAAGGAATGGGAAAATCGGATTTTGCTTTGAACCATATGTGTACATGGCATGTCTGTGGAGAATCCATGTCCAACGCGTGTCGGACACGAACACAGCACCAAAAACGCCGTGTCTGAGTAACCTAGACTGTATGAGTGGTTATAAAGTGTTTTCTGAAAAGATGAAAACAGAGTCAAATCCCGATTTGAAATGCAATTGCGCAAATGCTAGCGAGTAGCTTGGATCTTCAACAAATCATAAATCACATATTCTTTAAAGAAAGGGTTTTGTCGACATTAGTCCCTTAAAACTTTAATATTTTGAAATTCGTCCACAATCATTGAAACTGATATTAGGTCCTCCAAGTATTATGAGTTGTTTCAAATTAATCCCTCCAATTAAGAGCACAAGTTCCAAGATAAGAGTTGGGGGGTTCTACTAGTCATTTCAATGATTTGAACAACTAATTTTAAAATATTAAAGATTTAAGGGGTGAATACCCCCCCCCCCAAAAAAAAAAAAAAACCAAAAAAAAAACAAAGCAAAACAAAAAACTGACACCACTAAATATACATTGATGGAGCCTATGATACTAGTAGTCCAATACTATCAATGATGCAATGGGGAAAAAAGACAAATTGAAATGCAGAAGAGTGCATGTTAGTAGTAGTTATCCCTGTAACTAAGTACTGCACCACAATCACGCCATAGACAAATAATAATCAGTCATTTAACAAGATGAAAAAAATCATCAAAGAACAATTAAACTTTTTAATGTTTTAGTAATTTTACCGATGATAATCATGTATACCACCATGATGCCAACATTGTTGATAACCACACAAATCTGCAGAAGCATTCTTCCAATCCTTCCAAAGGCATCCCCCATCACTCCACCATACGAAGTCATTTTCTCCACACGGCTAAATCTGATAAGCATCTCAACAGAAGCCTCAGTAAGGAAAGCAATAAAGATAATCATCACAATCCCAGGAACAAGGCCCAAGACCTTCATAGTCGCGGGCAGAGCCATGATGCCGGCTCCAATGATGGTGGTTGATAAATTAAACACGGCTCCAGAGAAAGAAGCGCCATTGAATTCATGGAATTCGCTGGAGCCTTCGTGCTTGCTTGGGAGCAGGGGAGTAGTCTCGTTGGCAATCTGCTTATCTCTTCGGGCTCGGTTCTTGTTTCTAACTGGTTGAAGGCTTCCAGTCGTCATACTGCAGAACGCTTGAATGGGGTTCAATTGGAAGTAGCTCAGGATTCAGACAATGAACTGCAAAATATTTTTTTTTTTAAAAAGTACTATTAGGATTGCTGTTGAAGCTTGAAGCACGTTCACATGAAAAAGATAGGGATAGGGGGAAATGGGTTTTCGTTAACACCCAAGTTCTGTAAATTTACCAAGTTTGGATTTAAGCCAAAGCATCCTTCAAAAAAAAGGGGGGAAATAATAATAATAATAATAATAAATCAAACTGGGTTTCTGTTTTCAGAACCAAGAGGTTACAACCTGATCTCTTCAAAGACAAACTACAAGAGCTAAAGTACTTCTAAAAAATGACACAATTGTTCGCAAATTTTTTTTTTTTTTTTGACTAAACCCTTTGATTCAAACATGATACTATCATTTGTAGAAATGGGTCACAATCTAAAACTAATCTAAAAACTAATAGAAAGTAATGCAAAAACTCGACTAAACCCATGTTAAAATCACACGTTTTATGCAAAATTTTAACCCATTTGCTAAAAGTCCAAAAAACTTATCTCATAATCACACATTTGTATCTCTTCAACATGACCCTCAAAAATAATAATAATAATAATAATAATAATAATCAGTGGCGGACCCACCCTTGTTCAAAGTGGTTCACTTGAACCACCTCATACAAAAGTTCTCTATAGCCTAGTGGTATTGCAGTTGGTAACATTTTGTAAGAGGTCTGGAGTTCAAACCATCCAGCCTTCGAAAATTTCTCTTTTAGGCTTCTTTCCTTTTACCTCCCCTCTATTCTTCTTCTTCTTCTTCTTTTCCTTTCATTTTATCCCTTTGTTCTGTCTACCTTTTTAAGGCATTCTATAAATATTTTTGTTTCTTATATATATAAGTCAAATCATTGTTTAAAAATGATTGTTTTTCTCTTTAATAACCCTTCCTTCATTTTTTCCCACCTGCTATTATTTGAGAAAAAAATTTAGTGTATATTTTGAACCACCACCAAATATGTTGTAGATCCGCCACTGATAATAATAATAATTTAAAAAAATCCACACCTTCTCAGAGTCACAATCTGATCTCTGCAAAAATCAGCTAAAAGTTTCTATAATTTCTAAAAGCTAATAGAACTATATAATTCCAGCTTGCCTCTTCAACATCCAAAAAAAAGAAAAACAAAAAAAAAATCAAATCAAATCATCCACCTCAAAAGAGTCGCAATCTGAGTTCAGCAAAAACTACCTGAAAGACCAAAAAACCATGTCAAAGTCACACATTTTGTGCAAAATCTTAACTAAAATTCTGATTCAGACATGAAACAAGAATTTCTACAAATGGGTTACAATCTAAAAGTAGTCTAGATGTCACAAGAGCTATCTAAAGAGAATCACACAACCTGAGCTCCACAAAACCCAGCTACATGATCAAAAACCCATCTCAAAAAACACAAATTCTTATGCAGAATTTCAAATAAAAGCTACTAAAACTACCTATTGGGTTCCAAGATAAGCTCTTCAGCATTCCAAACACAATAAAAAGTTAATAAAAAAACTGACCTTTTTCCTATCATCTCATTGAAAACAAAGACAGAAGAGATAGCGTGTGCTTCCCACCAGCTAGCTTGAAGTCGCTTTCTGAATGGAAAATTTATTATTTAAGTACACTTTTAACAAATAACGAATTTGCCAGCAGCCTTTTGGTCTTTTCAACAAGGGAAGTGGTGTTCCTGTAATAATTAAAGGGTGTTTTTGGTATCCATGTTGTAACTTTGGGACTTTTCGATATTAGTCCTTTGCATATTTCATATTTTGAATTCTTCGCTCAAATCATTGGAATATTATTAGGCCCTCCAGTTCTTATATTATTTTGACTTAGTCCCTCAAATCATTAAAATTAAATTTAAATCTTTTACTAATGGGCTATTTTGAGAATGGTCACTTCAATCAAGGGCATAAGAGCAACTCCAACCGGTCGCCATTTTCCCAAATTGACGCAAAATTTTTCCATTTTCTTCCTCCAACCGATCGTCATTTTTAGAGCTATTTTAAAGTTGTGCTACAGTGTTGCGCCAGGAATGGTGTAACACTGTAGATATAGAGTTTTTGTTTTTTTCAAGTTTGCCCTTAAAGTTTGTTATAACAAATTAAATATTCCAATCATATCTCATTAAAAGATAAGAATGATAAAAGGAATATTTTTTTGGTGTAAAATTTAGTGTAATGGTTTGGAGATGGAATAGTGATTTGGTGTAAAAACTACACCAACTTGGTGTAAAAACTACACTATTTTGGGTTTTGTGGTTAGAGATGCTCTAAGTAGCGACTATAGGGAAATTAGTCCTCGAATCATGCAAAATTTTTATTAGGTTGCCTCATTCTCATACATTATTTCAAATTAATCCCTCTAATTGACAATTCTACTAGTAATTGGAGAATACTGGGCTAGACCAATTTTAAAATAACCTATGAATTGTGTGTATAATGGCAACTTCAACGATTTAATGGACTGATTCTAAAATACCTTAAGAATTGACAGACTTAAGAGAAATTTCATGAGCTGAGGGAATAATTTCAAAATACGAAATATGAAATGGACTAATAGAAAAAAGCCCTAATAATCTGACAGAGCGTTTCAGAGAGCAAAATATGGGTATTATTAGGATAATATTGAAAATTCATTGATTAGATAGATTACCATCAAAGTCGTCGATAAAATTGAATATGCACAAGTTTCCATGATCACACGTAGGATTGGATGGGCGTGTTTATTCGTTTGTAATTGTTAATTGGTACCTAGCAATCCTGCTTTTTAGGATGCAGACTAGGATTCTTGGTTTAAATTTGTCTTCTTCAGCGATTAGAACTAGGATTATTATTATCTCGAAGGGTTATTTTAATATGGGCCCCAACCTCCTCAGTATTTTGTGCTGGCCCCCCAAATCTTTGAAAATTCCCTCGTACACCTCAAATCTTTAATATTGCGATATTAGCCTCTTAAATCTTTGAAATTGATCTCAGGTCCCCAAATCCTTAAGCCTCTATATAAAATCTGATTGAAATGACAGAATATTCTATTTACTTTAACTTTTTCTGTGACTTGTCAGTTATACTCCTCTCACAAACCAAGAATACATTAACCACTTTAACCTATAATTGTTAAGCTCTCCAAAAATGTTTAATATTCAAATACATTTTCCACTTTATATTCTTTGATGTCTTTCTTAACTGCTCTCTTCAGCTCTAATCATAAATTTGCATCAGATTGATTTTTATTAGGGAAGACGTTAGAGAAGACGTCGAAGAAGATAAAGTGGAAAATGGATTTGGGTTAGGGTTTCATTAAATAGATTTGGAGAGTTTAATGGATATATGTTAAAGTGGTTAATATGTTTCAAGTTTGTGCCAGAGGGGTATAACTGGCAAGTCACTGAAAAAATTAAAGTGAACAGAATATTCTCTCATTTCAAGCAGATTTTAACTAAGGGGGGCTTATCTTAACCAATGTTTTTAAAAAACCTCCGCCTAGCCGCCTAGGCGTATGCCTAGACCTAAACGCTACATTGCCCGTCTACCGAGCGCCTAGCGCCCAGGCGTATGCCTAGACCTAAACGCTACATTGGTCGTCTACCCAGCGCCTAGCGCCTAGGCGGTACCTAGATTGTCCATCTAGATACTAAGAGTGCCTAGGAGAGAATAGTATGCCTACATGAACTGCACCTTTTAGGCATTAATCATAATTTCCTCCATTGCAGCCTCCATGTCCTCTAACCTCGTCCAAACTTTAACTGCGAATACCTCTTCTACCTCTCCCGACTTCTGGCAAACCTCTTCTACCACTACTTAAGAAATATGTTTAAGTGTCAGTCCAACGCCCAGGTTTTCTATGAGATTGACATTTACTATCACTAATTATAATTAAAAACTAAAAAAATCAAAACTCATAGGCCCCACCTAGGCCTCCACCTAGGCGCCTAGGCTTCACGCATCGGGTTAAATGCTTACACTACCTAACACTTTCTATAATTTTTATTTTAACATACTAATAGGATTTGGGGACATGAGATCCTAATATAGAAATATTAAATATGGAAGAGTGTGGGGTGGGGGGAGTGGAGCGGCTAAGATCAATTTTGAAGATTTGGCAGGACTAATATCGAAAAATTGATGATTTGGAGGGCTAATATTGAAATAGCCCTATTTTTACTAGATTTGGATTTAGATAATTTCATTACTTTTAAATCATTAAATTAAAATAATTAGAATCAATAAATGTAACTATTATTGAATTAGTAACTATTTTATTTTATAATTGTTAAATTAATGTTACATTATTTATAACGTCTGTAGAAATATGTAAACTATATTAATATGTTAGAATTACAACATAATGAAGAGTGAAAATACATAATGATGACTAGGCACTACTTCTAAGGAGTATCATAATGAAAATAGAAATGATAGGTATAATACCCTAACCCTTGAGAGGGTGATGTGATTAGTATTGATAGATTTGATTGGAATACTCATACCATCAAGATGCATCTTTTTTTCGGGAACCCAACTCTTAGAAACTCCAAAGTTAAGCGTGTTTGGCCTGGAGAAATTCTAGGATGGAACTCCAAAGTTAAGCGTGTTTGGCCTGGAGAAATTCTAGGATGGGTGACCCCCTGGGAAGTTTTCCAGTGAGCGCGTGAGTGAGGACAAAAACGTGCTGAAAAGACATGTTATGGTTTGTGAGGTCAGTCCATCAGATCTAATAGCGTACCGACTCCGGGATTCCCGGGTGGGACGTCACAGTTGGTATCAGAGCTCTAGTTCCAGTATCCTTAGGATCATCCCGTGTCGAGTCGTGGAGCTAGGTTAGAGTTTCTTAGGATTCATGTATAGAGTCCGATAAGGAGTTCCTAGTATGAGTGAGGACGGTATATACGTATATCTTAAAATTTTGAGAAATTTTTTTATGACAACTATTTTTGCTTAAAGTATATGCGTGAATACTATATGATGTAAAAATCGTATTGTTATATATTACGTATGTATATATGTCTACTTTGACTCATGAACTTTTATTTTCTTGATTAGAGAGAAATGGCAGGACGTGGCAGACCTCGTACTCGCAAAACTGCTCAGGCAGAGCCACAGCAGGCTCCACCCGAGCAGGAGCATGCACCACCTGAGCCGCAGCAAGCTCCCCAATACCTCATTGATCTCATGGCTCCTATCGTAGCTAGGATGGCAGCGATTGAGGAGCTTGTCACCACCACCTCCAGTAGTTCCACCACAGGGGATACCAGCCATCCCAATCAGAGAGAGAGACCCAGAGGTAGCACCTGTAGCTATTCCACCAGCGGTACCGGATAGAGCCACGGAGCAGGAGACTTAGCTCCGCTTGGTAGAGAGGTACCAGAAGATGAGAGCACCGGAGTTCCAAGGCTCTTCAGACCCACTTGTAGCCCACAAGTAGAAGGAGGATGTGAGTAATGTCCTAGACATACTCAATGTAGACTCAGTATAGAAGCAAAGACTGGCATTATATAGTCTGAAGGGGGATGCCGGGAGATGGTACCGATTCCAGTTTCCATTAGAGCAGCGGATGATCCTCACTTGGGAGGATTTTGTTTACTTCTTTGACGCGCAGTATGTTTCTTCTACAGCACGGACTGGGAAGGAATTTGAGTTGTCCCATTTGACTCAGGGGGACATGTCAGTTGCAGAGTTTGAGAGCAAGTTCATGGAGTTGCTGTATTTCATGAGGATGTGGCAGACAGGAGAGCGTCAGGCTCAGATGTTCCTAGCAGGGCTTTGCCCTAATCTTCGCCGATACCTCATCTCGAGGAAGTTCTATTCAGTCTGGGAGGTAGCTGAGGCCGCCACCTCACAGGAGAATGAGACGGCTATGTTTCAGAAGGACAAGGAGGGGAAGACTAAGACAGGACAGATTGGAGACAAGGGGAAGAACAAGAGGCCCTTGACAGGACATCAGCAGCAGCAGAAGGGCCCTCATAAGAGAGGACCCCAGCAAGATCAGAGGGCACATCACCAGCGCAAGTTTCAGGGGGTATGCTTTAACTGTCGCAAGGTGGGACACAAGGCATCAGAGTGTCGTAGTGCACCAGCAGGAGCTCAGCAGGGCAGGGGTCCGAACCAGCAGCAGTCGCGATAGCAGGGCCGAGGTTAGGGTCAGCAAGAGGGGCAGGTTCGAGCAGTCCAGGAGGACCCCTAGGGACAAATTGTCCCGTATTTTCCAGCACCAGTGGTAGAGCAGTCTTCAGCACCAGGCAGAGTATATGCAGTGGTTCCTCGTGATCATGGTACCAGTGGTGCAGTTGTGGAGGGTACGTTCCTCGTGAATTCCTTTCCCGCCCGTATTCTTTTCGATTTGGGAGCTTCGCATTCTTTCATTTCATATGCTTTCATGGATAGACTCCAGCTCGTAGCTCATTCGTTAGACACCCCTTTATCAGTTTCCACCCCTCTAGGAGAGGTATCGCTTCTGGAGAGCGTTTGTAGGAGGTGTATCATCAGTTTAAACGAGTCCGAGTTCATAGTCGATCTGATAGTTTTGCATATGTCCGAGTTTGATGTCATCCTTGGTATGGATTGGTTATCGTCCTACCATATTAGTATTGACTGTTTTGCGAAGACAGTCAGATTGCGAACGTCCGATGGGTCCAAGATGATTGTGGC